ATAAGAGTACTGTACGACCACATTTCACCACAGTCACTCGTCCTCTTCAATTTTTACACTCCCAGACGTTATGTATATTACTGTACTCGGAATTCTGATTATATGCTTAGGCTTGTATATGATCCATTTAAAAAGAGATTAATTATGATAATAGTTAAGTGGTTCAGCCAAACGGGCCAGATCAAATGAGAATGCGCGACCCATCTTTCTTGTGCCTATATATGATGCATACACTTTCTGAACGAACCATTCTCTAAATTGGCCACTCCACCCCCAAGCTACACAAATTCTCAGTACATACAAAACAACACCATTATTACTGCAGACCATCATCAGGAACATCATGTCGGTGAAGGAATGTGGTCACCACCACTGCGACGACAAACGGCCCGTCCCCTGGGTAATCGCCGCCGTTGTTGGTTTCATTATCCTCATCCTCTTCGTCATTTTCCTAATCTGGCTCATCCTCCGACCGTCCAAACCTCACTTCATCCTCCAGGACGCCACCCTCTTAGCCTTCAACCTGTCCTCCTCGCCGGCCACCACCTCCGCCATTGAACCTCCTTCTCTGACCCCCAGCACCATCACCATCACCATGCAAGTCACTCTCTTGGCTCGCAACCCCAACGACCGAATAGGGATATACTACCAGAAGCTGGACGTGTTCGCGTCGTACAGGAACCAGCAGATCTCTCTGGGCACGATGCTGCCCGCGACGTACCAGGGACACAAGGACGTGGCGGTATGGTCGCCGTTCTTGTACGGGACGGCTGTGCCGGTGTCTCCGTACGTGTGCCAGTCTCTGACGCAGGATCAGAATGCTGGGGGAATGCTGGTGAACGTGAAGGTGAACGGAAGGGTGAAATGGAAGGTCGGTTCTTGGGTGTCCGGCAAGTACCATCTCTTTGTCAACTGCCCGGCCTTTATCAGGCTCGCCGGAGACGGGATCGGAGCTACAGGCCCCGCCATCAAGTATCAGATTATGCAGAGTTGCAGCGTTGATGTTTAATTAGTTAGCAAAGTAATTCGCCTACTCTTTACTCCAATAATTAGCTTCCTCTCTTCACCACTCTCTTAAAATGTCACTATATTAATTCTATTTGGCTTTTGCTGTTTTTATTTCTGATTGAAACTTAATACTGATAGTACATGGGTTGTTCCAGGAAAGTCAAGTCAAATTACTCTCTCTTTCCATCTTTACTGATATTCATGTCAAATAATGTTACGGTGATAAAAATTAAAGAAGATTTCTTTGTCACCAGACTAAGAGCTTATTTGGAAGCGCTTAAAAAAAATTTTATAAGCACATTTCATATAAATTGAAATAAAAATTCTTTCACATATTTATCCCGTATTCTGTAAATTATTATTAAAAAGTTACTTATAAATTGCTCTAAACTGATCCTTAAGTGTTATAGAATGATGACCCACATCATCGTTGTACTTAAATTTAGCATAGAAACATGTTTTAAATTTTGGAGTACGTAGAAAGCGAGATGAGAAATGATATTAAATACGAAGTACGGCCAGAAATCATGATACATCATGCTCTCAAATTGGCATCTTTTTCGAACGAAACCAGACACAAACCATATGATGTAATCATTTTTTTAAATGGACAGTGTATTTCAATCTCGTTTTGATTGAATAATATTATGATATGATTGTTTGTTGGGTGGGCTATTAAATGATAAAAGGACTGTGTCATCCATGTGGGACGGAAGACGAGGAGCTACAGGACGGGGATGACTCGAATTCAATTACATGGGTCCTCCGTGCTAGTTGACTATAAGGTCTTCTCTGGTTTAATTTCTAGGGAATCACACATTGGATCTCAGATTGGCTTTGAAATCATAAAACAAAAGATCAAGTTTCGTCTATTAATCTCATTATTAATTAAATCTGAGAGATGGAGGAGTCTCAGTGGTCTGGCACATCTTTTGGATCGTGTCCTCTGTTCACACAACATAATACCATACCCATCACAATCCCTAAGCTCCCATTCACTCGTTTCTCTCTTGTTTGTTTTAAGTTCTGTGCAATAAAATTAAAAGTGGTCTCAGAGAAAGTGACTCCTGGGAAAAGTAAATTCTCCATTCCGAGTGAAAATGGATAGACACAGTGGGAAATATAATATAGTAGTATATGGCTAAGTAAGGTGAGAGAGAGGGGAGTTTCTGTGGACCACGGGATCTGTAAACTAGTATCATGAGTACATACAACGCATATGATGGGGTTGAGTGTGGAGAAAAATTTCATGGAGGTTTCTTTCACTTGAAGCTATTCAAAAAGTAAGTTGCTGCATATTCTGAATTGGAATATGGATTTAACTTTGTTCCGCCAACTTCCACCTTACCTTTGTGCATGGAATCAGAATTTTTTTTTAAAGGATTTTTCAATAAGGTAAATGGCTCGTTTGTTCCTTTTAAAACATGTGGTCCTCTGGAAATGTCGTCCTAATAAGCTCCAGGAGTTGTCATTATTGGATATAGTAAAATTGCACACCGTTTGTAAATAGAAACGCTATACTATTTCTGTGCAATCTACTTTACCTGTGATGGTTACTTGGAAGCAGAAACAGATAATTTTCCTAAGGAATGAGGAAAATGCCGTGTTGACTCAAATAAAATAAGCTTTAATTTAACATGAAATTTGCCATAATATGATCATAGTGGGAACGCGCTCAGCAAATCGCTAATCATGAAGACCAATCATTTATTATTGGTCATTCGCAGTTTCTCTGTATCTTCCTCTCTTCGACGCGCGCACCCACATCCACATCCACATCATCATCGTGTTATTTTCTTATTGGGTGATAATAAAAAGTTTCAGAGGCCTCTTCCGTTTGTTAACATTGCACAATCCACAATAGCGACTTGACAAAAACAATTTTAAAGCGGACCAAAGGAGTAGAAATTTAAATGAATTAAAAAAAAAAAATTGGGACACATACACGTGGTTGATGCGGATTCAGCATTTGATTAAACAGCCCCAAGACTTTGATTAGACTTGGGGGTTCCAAGTGTTAATTTCGTGTTCCATATACGTACATATAACTAAGCGAACGTTAAAGCATCAATTTTGTGTTCTTCAATAATTTAAAAACAACTAGATTTTGGATATTTACCGATAAATGAGATGCCAAGCCTCTATCAGATACGGATGGACGGGGTTGAAGATTTTAATGAATTAAACTAAAAAAAATAAAGGGGGTTAAAATATGGAAAAAAAAAAAGTGCTACAATTTATATGAATTAAATTTGCAATTTTATCATTTCTCACTTTTATTATTTACTTTTTGCCACGGATCTGGTTTTTTTATTACGGACCCGACGCCACATTTTTCCTGCATTTCCCAACCGCATAACTGAGAAAAAGCTAATATATATATATATATATATATATATATATATATTTATATAATAGGACGCATACCATGGGCACCGTAGAACTAGAGTGACGATTGCACGTGATATACCAGTTACCGCAGTTAAGAACAACAGTAACCGTGATTTCCAGCACGTGAAGATTAAAGTTGAAACCCAATTTAGAGAGGGCTCTGTTTGAAGGCTTTATTGGGCCCAGGCTAAAATGATGGCCCATTAGCCTAGAATATATATGGGTTCATTGGCCCACAAATGGAAAGTGTTGACCGACGCGTTCAGCAACGACTTCGAAGTGGGAATACCTTGGTAGTCTCCTTCCTGTAATTTATGAAGCACACAGATGACTTCAGCACAAACAACGCTTATAAAGCGCACGTGGTGTGTTATTGTTTGCTTACACTCTCACGTTGTAATTGTAAATGTTGACCAGTTTTAATCGGACACCGATTCCCTAATTTATTAATGAGCTAAAATTTGAAATTTTGTCAAGAGTGCGTTTAGTATGAGAGATTTAGAAGGAAAAAAAGGGAGGAGAAAAGATTTTAATCATTTTTCTTTGTTTGGCAACACAAATTTTAGGAGTGAAGAAAAAAAAATTTCCTCCTCAATCTTCCGTCCAAAATTAGGAAGATTTGGAGGGAAAACACAATATTTTGTCATATTATGACTATTATGTCCATATTTATTTTTAATACCCCTATACTATTTTATATCTTTTTTTCTCTTGTCTTTAGACGCTGCTATCTCCTTTACATTACCAAATAGTTCATTCAAATATGGGATACAACATAAGTTGTGGCTGAATATTACTTCAGCCTTATTTTCAATAATACTTCACACTCTAGAATATATTAGAATTTTGGTATAAGTATTGCTCAATATATTAAATGTTATTTACAATTCTATTTTATTAAACATTTTATAAAATTTGGAAAAAAATAATTTTAAATAAAATAAGGACAAAATTGTTCATGTTAAAATATTTCTCTCTCCCCTCTCCTTATGAACAAGATAAAGTAATATTAAAACTCCTCCTTTTCCCTCTCTTTTTATAAATCTAAACAAAGTCATATTAAAATCTTTTCACTCTCCTTCCCTCCCCTTCTCTCTATTAAAATTCCTCCTCTCTCCTTCCTCTCGTTGAGCCAAACAAACAGACCCTCAAGTATTTACATTTAGTATTCAAAATTGCTTCGAATATGATTACTTTTAATTAAAAAAATACTTATTTATTATAAATAATTAGTTTAACTAATTTTTTAATTTGTTTAAATTAGTCAACTAGTTTTTATATTTAGTACCGGATGTAATACCTGTGACTGTGCTTGTTAAAAGAAATTATCAACGGATCTCACATGGCGCTTCATACTGTGATGAGTTGATCGCTTGAGGGTGTTGGCGCGATGAATCCCACTAACATGCCTAGGTGGAGCTGTCTGCGTACAGCTTCTACATGCTCCTACTGTTCTCAGTGCTTCGTCACTCTATCTCACTTCAACCATTTATTTTAACCACACTAGTTTTGCTCTTTATTCGCTCCCTCCCGTTTCCAGCCATAACCATGCTTAACAAATACTCCTCTAATATTTAATATAAGACTCATTTAATTAATTTAATTAGATTAAAAAATTTAGATAAGTTAGTTAATTATAAAAAATATGACATGATTTTTCTAAAACATCATAATCATTTTTTTAAATATCATTCCTCTTTCTTTTACTTGATTAGGTTTGAGGGAGTATCAATAAAGATAATTTTAAAAAAACTAATAAATATGATAAATATATCTTATATTTAGAACTGAAATTAACTCAACTATTAAATTATATATTAAGGACTGGAGGAGTGTTAAAATTACATTGTGCAAATAGTTTTTAAAAAAATTAAAAACAAAAAAACAAAAGCTCGCGAAATTCCGTGGGATGCAGAAGATGGTTGCGATTAAGCCCATGTCATTTCACCGTTGGCAGGCCCAGCCCATGAGAGCCCGGCTGGCAGTTGCAAGTCTTAAACGCCACGAAAACCCATTATCACCTAACATTTCCAAGCCTGTGCCAGCTTTTTATTTTTTATTTTTTATTTTGATGAGTCAGCTTTTATTATTCTACAAGGTAATCAATGTTTGAATTACAATTGAGAGTGATGTTTATATTTCGTGGCTGACGGTTTTTCAAACAGCCACCAATAATAGAACAAATGTGCTCAGTACGAAAAAATATACTATCTCCGGTTCTTAATATAAGAGTTAGTTTGATTTTTAATTTGATCCTAAATATAAGATTTCAATATGCTTTCTCTCTTATATTTATTTATTTTTTCCTAAAATAATTCTTGTAGTAATTGCTTATATTAAAAGTTCTACCAAATAGTAGTTCTAGGTAAACACATGATTAGTAAAAATATTTTTTAAAAAATAACACATATTAATTACAAATAACTAATTTAACAAAGGGAAAATGACAATAAAATACCACCTGAATTTCAAAAAGACAAATAAGGCACCTGAATAAGCAAAATGACATATAAGGGACAGGGTACCAATCTGGAATTCAGATTTTTGGCCAAAAGACCAAAATGCCCTGTCTGAAAGTGAGAGGAAGGAGAGAGGAAGACACTAATGAAATACGGGAAGGAGAGAGGAGGAAGACGCTGATGAAATCGGGAAGAAGAGAGGAAGGAGAGAGGAAGACGCTGATTTTCGATGGGTTCCCACAGCTTAAAATGTTATTGCCTAGCATTTCTCTAAAAAATTTTGGTTCTGTCTCTGTTCTTCGCATAAAACCATTTTCAGAGAATGTGAAGCTGTGGGAAAGA